CACCACTTCTTCTTGGAGAGGCAGCCACACCCTCCCTCGATACTAGTTCTGCAGTCGTCTCCATCCTGCCTTCTGTTTTTTCATCCAACTTCTCCTATTTTTTCCTCCTCTTGAGGCAATTCTTCCACCTCAAAACACATCCCCTACCTACCCATTATCTTCACAGCAGGCCTCTCCTCGCAGCTTTATGTGCTCCCTCACCTTTTGAATTATGCATACGATATCACCGGTCACATCTGATCAACATGCTGACCTTGTTACAGTCGTGTATGCGTGTGCACTAGCGAGCATGTCTTTAGGTATATTTATAAGGGTGGCTTATATGATACATGACACAATGCAACACACGCTCTGTGTATCGTATGATGCTACACTAAATCATTTCAGTCTAAAGCATAATGGATTATGCTCCTCTGTTTTCTAATTATGTTAAGTGTGTGGAAAGCTGTTTGTTTGTGCCCATGTTTTATTGATTAGTCTGGGAAGCTCCATAAGACGCCATCAGGGCAAGCTAAATAAGCGATTACAAGCCGCGAGGTTGTGGTGACTGGCTCTGACAAGGTGATATTACTTGTTAATGATCACGTATTAATGTGTTGTTAAGCACTGGAGCCAAGCAAACCACCCATTAGAAATCTCTGGTTACCTAATGTTCAGTTTTTCCTGACCTGAGATACTGCATGATTTTATTTGATAGAATAATACTATAGTTGAGTCTAAGGTTTACCCAAATACAGGAAGCTGACTGATGCACAAAGGTTGTTTTCTTGCAAGGTAAAAATCACTGGAGTGTTTTCTGTACTAGTATCACTTATATAATGGTGTCGCCGCGTTAACATTAAATAGAAAGCATGGTGTAACATTTGTGATGTTTAAGAATAATGTTCATATCGTTTAAACTACAAGCATGCGGATTTGTAAGGGAAGCTTGTCAGCTATACTCTCAGTGCATTGCCTATGGCATTATGTGGAGAGGAGCCTCCCAACGGAGAGCCTATTAGTATTCACACACAGACCTCTGCAGTGATCAACACATGTTCAGGCACACAGGAGAGAAAGAGCTTCATTCATATTCATTTTACGTGTTATCAGTAATCTGCTGGCTGTGTTTACTTTAATACTGCAAGGCCCTTGTTTCCATCCTGTGCCTGTCTCTCCACCTATTTTGCACACCCCCACGCATATGCAAATTCCTACAGTTTCACCATCCGAGGCATTTTCGAGGTGTGAAGAGAGACTCGGATCTGAGACTTGATTGACCGAGGGATGCAGAGCTGCAGTTCAGTTTGAGTGCGTCTGTACACGTATAAAAATGAATACCTTCAACACAAGTGTCTGCATAATTATTGTTTTCCACCTACAAAGACAAACTGCACAGAATACAAACAGTGCAAGTGTCTGTAGGAGGTCTGCTCAGCTGAATACTAAGAAAACTCACGTAGTGCTTGGCTCTGTTCCTGGTAGCACAATCAATAGTGCACAAGCACACACATGTACAGTACATACTTGTATTGGACCCATGAAAATGGAATAAAGAGAGAGAATTGCATTATAAGCCATGTCCAGATACTCAGAACCCCATCATCTAACATAACAGGATTCATTAAATAAACCAGTGCATACACACACACATACACAGAGCACTGTAGTTGGCCATCCCTTGTTCATCTGTGGGATTGTCCAGTGCTTTCCTCTGGGTGTGGCATGGTTGTGCAGAAGCATTGCAGCCATGCATGTTAAAATTTAAACCTGGCTTTGTCTACACACACAAGTAGAGGTAGTACATTTTTCATCTTCCCAAAAAGTGTCAATGGCAGCTTTTTTGTGTGTTTTTGTTGTTGTTTTTTTATCTTTCCAGGTTTATGCCAGCATGGCAAGTTTATTTCATGTCTACACAGAACTGTAGGTGTTAGAGGGATTTTTTGTTTTTTTTTGTCTGCAGCCTGCAGACAAAAAAAAGCATCTCTTCCATTTTCTTTGAGGATATGTGTGTGAGTGTGTGTCTGCACCTATAATTTGTTTCTTATATTACGGGGGCATTAATGTGTACTGTCATGCCAAAGGAATTTAGCTTCTGCATTAGACTGGCCATTCAGTTTTAGTGTGCAGATTTGATATAAGGGTTGGACACTAAGGTTTAACGTAAGGACTGGAGATAACAGGGAGTTTGTCTAGACTCGTCTGCAGATTGTGTCTCAAGGCTCTTTTTCTCTGCCTTGGCTATGTGTTGCAATAAAGGGTTTTAATAACTGCAGGGCTTTTTCTCCTGCGTGGTGTTTTCCACCAATTCATGCGTGGGTGTACTATTATGTTGTTCTGGTGATTTTTATTGGAATAACCTGACCTTTTTGAGTGAATTTTTGTTTTTTTGTTTGTTTTTTTACGCTTGACCTTGGGCCATATGAGCGCTAAAACAAACAACTGCTCAGTCGCCTCCAAATAACTGTTAGGGTTAAAAAAAAAAAATCGATATTTCTCCACTCGTGAAAATATGCCGTGTGCAACCTACAAACAGCCCTCAAAATCCACAGATTGAACAAAGATATTGGCCCAGCTGGACAGAGCTCGGCGGGCCACCTGCAGTTCAGGCGCTGATTTATGTGTGAGTCTGTGTGTTGAAGTACTTTTCGTTTGAAAAACAAAAGGGGATGAAAATCAAAGGACTGAGAGAGCGAGAGGGGGCTGGACTGAGAGGCGGCTGTATGAGTGCACAAATTGCTGCTTTTAAACATCTGAATTTGTCAGAATTGCCTTGGCAGTAAGTGGACCTCGGGCAATTTCCTACCCTCCAAATTATGGCAATTATTACAAATTATTTCTGTCATGTGTTAGCACAGTGGACAACAAGAAGAAAACTAGCTTTTTTTATCATTATTTTAACTTATATATGTGGTTATGATTATATACGGATTACATTGCAATAAAAAGATCGAGAGAAATGAACCCTTGTTTGGGCTTTCAACATCCGTATGTACACACAAAAGTGTGATAAACATTTGTTATATGATTATAAGTGCCGCTTACAAAGAGCAGGATGAGCAATGTGTATTCGTGCTCGGTTGAAACCAAAATTAAAAAAACGCTGAATATGAAATATCACCTCACTGCTGTGCTGCTAAATCAACCCATGAATAAAAGAGTGACTGCAGAAAAGCAGAGCGCGACAGAGAAACAAAGCCTGTGAGAGCAGCGGGGGTTGCAATTCATTATTCATCTTCTAATTTGACATTAGAGGTCAGTGTGTGTTCCTCCCCTGCTTCCTACCTCCTCTGCCTCCTCCGCCTCGCCTTCACTCTCTTGTGTGGATTCCTAATCTGACCGGGTGTATTGAACTTGCAGAGTTTGTTTTGTCTGTACATCAGCAAAAACTGACGCCTACAAATGCTTGACTGTTCAGAACTGTACGTGGAGTTTGTTGTGTCTGTCGATTGTTTATTTCGAGCTCTGTAGTCATTTGTAGAGATCCTGATGTTTCTTCTCTCAGTATCTAATTACAAGTTGTAGTTCCAGATAGAGATGGACCGATCCGAGATTACCTATCGGTATCGGTCCGATACTGACGTAAATTACTGGATCGGATATCGGAGAGAAATAAAAAATGTAATCCGATCCATTAAATATCAAAAAAGCACCTCACAAAACTTGCGACACGGTGTAACTTGGCTCATAACCGTAGCACGTCGGAGCAGTGTGCATCACGTGATAGAGCGGCTGTGTGTATTTGTAGCCTCGCTACCAAACAAGCATTTCATTTCCGATGAAGTTATCCCAGAGAGAAGTAAAGCAAGTGTGTAAGTTCTTCTCTGAATGTTTGTAAAGCATTCCCACGTTAAGCTTAACAACAGATACA